ATTCTTTAAAATAAAAAAAAAACAAACAAAAAAAAACATTTTTGCAGTTATGGAAGCCAAAACTCAGGAGCATTAAATTACTCATCCAAGGTCACACAATGAGGAAACATCAGAGTTAGCCTTTCCAGGAGCATCTCTAGCTCTTGGTTTGGGGCTGCTGTCTGTCCTGGGTCAGTGTGCAGCAATATACTTCAACATACGTGATGCTACACTGTCATGGGCTGAATAGAGAGCCTTTCTCTTCAGACGGCAAACAAAGTTCTTGACAAAAAACCCTAAGGCTTTATTCTCTTCCTATTGTCAGACCTACTATCTGTCTGAACATTTTAGAGGAGCTTCAGCCACTCCCCTCTCCTGACAAGAGTTCTCCAAAGGGACAGGTGGCAGAAGGAGGTTGGAAGAAGTGGCAGGGTCAGCTAGGTGTAATGAGCACTGGACCAGTAGTGAAGACCTGATAGAAATCTGAGGGCCCTGGGCACTCGATTTTTAGATTTTTAAAGTAATCCTGTCAGTTCCCTAATAAAAGTAATAAATTAACCAAACAGCGGATTCAGTGGTATTTTATGTCCTGAGGGTATTGCTCCCACACTTCAATTTGATAGCATGATTTATCAAGAGATAAATTACAGCTGGGAATGAATGGATTTACTGATGTCAGGGAGATGACAAGTATATTCTGAAGATGTTACTGGTGATGGGCACGTACCTGACAAGCATACTTGAAAATCTCCAAACAAAACGCTTCTATTCCAAGGGTGAATAAATTTAATTCACAATGGATGGAGGTTATTGAAAGGACAGAAGGATTTTGATGGCCTACAGTATCCCCCTACCCAAGTCAGCCTGACCTAAAAGTATTAATTATTTGGTCTTTGCATGTGGGGTTATGCAGCCACTTCAAACTTCTCTGCAAGCAAATCAGGAGGATAAATAAAAGAATGTGGGGGTTGCTGCCCTATAAGGATGCACACCTGCCCATTCCCCCATTCCTCCTCTCCCAACTGGCCGTAACTATGTGTTTATCATTTTCCTTATGTAAGCACACATGACAGTTGTCAGAGTCAAAGTGGAGTCACGTTGTCAAGCTCTAAATAAAAATAAATAAATACAGCCAGGAAGTTATAGGGGGATCTTATACTTGTATACCTGATGGCAACAATTATTCACAGAATTCCAGGATCCCAAGCTTACTCTTTTCCACTGCAACCTAACACACACACACACACACACACACACACACACACACACACACAATTTACCTCTGCAAGGACATCTACCTAGTAACTGTCCATTTAACCATGAACTGGTTCTATCTTTGTTATTAATCAGTGTAAAGATTATCATTTCAAAATATGTGGTGTAATCCTTCTCACTTTATCTTCCAATATTTCTCTTGCCTCAACCTCCTTGAATATGCTCATAGTGTACCATCACAAGAGTTTTCCCATTGCAATGTTCTGCTATTCCAAAATATAAATATCTTATCCTTTGGAGAATCTCTCTGGTTGTTATTTAGGTTGACATGCACATGACTCAGGTAAAATTTGGATGTTGGGCCTGTTCACTGAGCAAGACTGCTTTGTCCCTGGATGTAAGTGCATCTAGGATTGCTTCTGGGACAGTAATCAGGACTGAGAAAGAGTGGGAAAGCAGAGATGACTTGGCTTCTCAGGGTTAGAAGAAAGCTCCCTGGAGATACATGAAGATTTCTAAATGGACACAGACCCAGAACTGTGAGCTGAGAGATGGTCTTCCCTGCCTTTAAAATCTGCAGTTGCTTCTGGTCTAAAACAGTGGTAGCAAACCTACGGCACATGTGCCACAGTGGGCTGTTTGTATCATTGAAAGCTCTAAAAGGTTTGCCATCATTGATCTAAAGTGTTTACTTTCAAGAAAAGGCATAGTAGAATTCTTGGTGAGGAGTGGTTTTATGAATGTGTTCTTAGTCTTTCTGAGCCTTTAACCAGAAGAGGCTTATTTATTTGTGGGCAACAACATGCAGAGGTGAGGAGAGCTGGGGTAGGGATGGATATGCAGTTAGCCTAAGCTTAAAGCACTTACCTTTCAATAGAGGGAAGCTAAGCGTGTCTTGAAGCTTAGACATTTAAAACACCTTTTTAAAGCAAACTCCAGAGTCTGGGCAATGTAGAATTAACAAGCCAACAAATCAAATTGTGCTCAACAAATCAAAGAAAAAGTATGCCATTAGAAAAAATAGATGTTGAAATAAGATTTAACTTGAGAAGCAACCAAGCAGATAAGCTCATTAATGAATAGTCCACTCACGAAACAAATAAGATTTAAAATCCTTCCAGCTTTTGAATGGTTTAAAGCCAGCCATAGCTAGACAACTATGTACATAGATTAAAAGAAAATTGTGCAGTGCAGTTTCTTGTTAAATCTCTTTAAAGTTTACCAATAGCCTGAAGCATCTGTCAAAATCCCAGGGAGGTGCTACAAAGAACTATTTTAAGCCTCCAGATTCAGGGCACCTGAAGAAGTAAAGGTACATGTCATTATCTTTTTTTTGCAGATAAACATAATATATTTTATATATTAGAAAATATATAAATTATTAAGACTATATAAACATATACTGCTTTTCTGTCATACAGTCTATGAGAATTCTTTTCTTGCAAAAATATTAAGTTATTTTATAGACCTCCATTTTCTGAGCAAATTCTGAGTACATTTTTATAAGAAAAAATGTTCAAGTATGATGCAGAAGAAATGTTCAAGTATGACTCTAGGGTTGGGGTGGAGATCAGGGTAAACCTTAAAGACAGACCTCACCATCTTAGACATCTGACCTCCAGATAAATCCTCTAAAATCCCCAAAGACCAGAGAAGTTCTCTTCAACACATAGTCTTTACATCAGAGAAAACAGGCCCTGGCTAATGTGAGAGGCAGAGCAGAGCTGGATAGAGGCTTGTCACTTTCCTCTTGGTAGTCAGAGTATTGGTCTGGAAATGAGTTTTGTTAGATGTCACAAGCACGTTCTGGTCTTGACCCCTCTGTAGCCACCATACTTCTGGTGGGCAGCCTGGGGAACTAGGACTGGGCAGCAGAGCATCCTGAGCCCAGTGTGATCGCATTAAAGTAGACAGCAAACCCAGATGTGGCTATCTTCCAGCCTGCTGTATCATCCCTTTCTCACCTTTACATTCAGTCAGAAATAAAGTGGGCAAGAGGTGAACTCTTCATCAATACCCTTCTTTAGGGGCCCAATTTAGTTCCAAACTGGGTAAAAAAACATGAGCCTGACCTCAGGTACTATCCTTTTTATCCTTCACCCAGAAACACACTGCACTGGGCTTTGAACCATTTGACATAACTTTTGCTTTGGTTTGATTTTGGTTCAAAGAATGAGTACTTTTTTTTTTTTTTTTTTTCTGCTTTTGGTTTACTAAAGCAAAACTTCAGAGGTTACATGAAGCAGGCAGTTTGTGACCTTTGAGTGTTATACTGCAAGAATAAATGGGAAGAGACAGCACTGTTTTAAAGGGATGTATAACACACCATACACAAAAAAAGGCACTCAATGAACTTTTATAAACATACACTGTGAGCTTTTTCACGCAAGCCATACCTAAGTGAAAAAATAGAAGATTAACAGAATCTCAGAAGCCCCCTTGTGCTCCCTGCTAGCTCTTATCTTGATAAGGTTAATCTGTATATTGACTTTTACAATAGATGAAGTTAAAAATATATATATATATTCTTTAAGTAGATTAAACCGTATACTATGTATCCTTTTGTGTCTGACTTCTCTTATTCTGCCCTGTAGTTGTGAAAGCCGTCAGTGTCATTGCTGTAGCATGAGTCTATTCATTTCATTGCTATGGTATTTTTTCAGTGGAACAAAAGAATCCCAGTACATTTACCTTTTTTGCTGTTGGTGAACATTTAGGTTGTTTACAGTTTTGTCAGTGTTGCTGTGTACAGTTGTGTACATAACTTTTGCTTAATTTATGTATTATTGTTATTATTGATTATGTACTTAGGAGTGTAATTGGTGAGCCAAAGAATATACATGTGTTCAGTATTAGAAAATATAAAAGTTTTCCAATACGGTGATGGCAATTCACACTCTGCTTTGAGAGTGTGGGTTCCTTTACATTCTCACCATTACTTGACATTGTGCCTTTCATATCTGAGCTTTTCTGGCAGCTGTATAAATGACACTGTTGTAAAAAAAAGCACACATGTAAAAATACAAGAATTATGTTAAAATAAAAGAACATACCTTTTTGTGTTTTGAAGATTAAGTAAAACAAATATATGGATGATCTCACTGGGAAGTACTGAGAACAAATCACTTAGGTGTAGTACAATGCACAGTATTTTATTTTACTTTTTGGTACCAGAACTCGAACTCATAACCTCACACATGCCAGGCAGGTGCTGTGCCACTCAACTATATTCCTGGCCGGTAGAGGATTTTAAGGATAGTTTTTATTTTATAAAAGATCGAAGTTGCTTTAAAGCATAGTACCTCAGAATTTAAATAAAAATAAAATATTTTTCACGCTGTTTCATGTTTTATGGGCAAAGAATTCTGATCAACACCTGATAGCAGGCAATTTGACTGATAGTTAATCTACATCAGCACAATGAAAGTGCTGTGATAGGGAGTCTGTCCATTCATATGCTAAGCACTCTGAAGCAGTTTCCTCTGAGGAAATCTAAATTCTGCCATCATTTATTAATTCACCTTCCATTATTCCTATAGACTAAGTATTATATTACTTAGTCTACTTTTATTTCTTTTTGCCTCTGAACTGTTAGCACTTGTCCTTCACTACTGTACGTAAACATGCACACGGCGCATCTAGCTCTGTGTGGACTGCATAGCAACATCTGGTTTCGGATGTCGGTTAGGAAGGTATTTAGTGGTGGTAACAAATTAACTGGCTAAGAGCGGCTCAAGCAGACCATTTTCCCCACAGAACGAGAGGTATTTGCTGGTTTTTAGGTGTATTTACCAGTTAGTTGATGGTGTTTCAGCTGCACAGCCGTATATTTCGGCATCTCTGCTCCGTCATCTGTAACACAGCAATCTTCATACTTGTATGGTAGTCTCACCAGAGCGAGATGGCTGCTGCACTTCAGACATCACATCTGCATTCAAGAAGTTAAAGAAAAGAGGGGGTGGTTCCAGCAATATCTTTACATACTTACCAGAACAGTAAAGAGTCTCCAGAAGCTTTTTGCCTATATCTCTGTGTAGGACAAAATAATTTCAAAATAAGTGGTGAAACAATACCAATACAATAGATTAATAAAAAGCCAAATAATTATTGTTTTGAGGTTTCTATGGGTCAAGCATTCTACAGAAGCCCAGCCAGGTATGTTGGTTCAGGGTCTCTCAGAATGTTTTGATTAGCATGTCCATAGGGGCTGCAGCCATGTTCAAAGCATGATTAGGGTAGAGGGATCTATTTCTAAGATGGCTCACTGACAAGATGGCGGCTGGCAGGAGCCCTGTTACTGAGCACAGGGGCCTTTCTAAGGTCTCTGTGTTGTTCTCACAATGTGGCAATTGTCAGTGTGATAGTACTAAGAAGTGGGGCTGTTCAGAGATGCTTAGTCCATGACAGTCTCTCCTTAGTGAATAAAATTAGGGCTCTTGTGACTTGCCCTTCTACCTTCTGCCCTTTCATCTGGCTTGCTCACTTACCTTTCTACTTTCTGCCCTGTGACCCTCCCCAGACACTCAGTGTCAGTTCCCTGGCCTTGGCCTTCCAGCCTCCACAGCAGTGAGGGATGGATTTCTGTTCTTTATAATTCCCCAGTCTCAGGTATTTTGTTAAAGCAGCACAAAATGAACCAAGGCAGTTGCTTCCACCTTCTGAAGGGAGAACTACCAAAGAATTTGTGAATATGTTAAATCGCTACTGCTTTATTAACCAAAATGAATTCACTTGTTCAGTTGCATTACAGTGGAACCTGGGAAACAAATTTACCACTGGTGCTATATCCATTCTTTGCTTGGACAACACCCCTAGCAGGAAGGAAGAAGAAAGGAATATTGGAAAGTCAACTAGTTCAGGAATTTGAATGTAACAGAATGTTTGTTATCTGAAGGAATGAACCATTTAACATAGATAGAAATATTTTTAAAAAGCAAGACTTTCTAGAAGGCAAAAAGGTAGTGACCTGAACTATGAGAATTCAAAATACATGATAAACTAAAGTTCTGGCAAATAAATGGGAAACAACATACAGTATATGCATAGATTCTAATTTATAGGAGATTAATATGGAAGGGAATGAGTTTTTCATAAATGCTATTGTTTGAAAAAGATCCATTTACATGCTTACTATATTATAGAATAAATTCTAGATGAATTAGAAAGTAAAATATGAAAGATGAAACCAACTTTAAGAAATGAGAAAAGATGTTAGGTGAATATTTACCTGATCCCAAATGGGGAAGTACTATCTGAACATACAAACAATGAACTAAATAGCAAAGGAAAGGATTGATTTAATATTTAAAATTAAATATCCTATGTCAAAAACAGCATAAAAATTTAAAATCAAATGAGATTATGCATTATTGATAGTTTGATGGGATATATTTATTAACAAGAAAAATACCTTAGCTTTGCTTGAGGTCTGTGCCCCATTTCAATGGAGTAAATATTTCAGAAATTAAAAATAAAACAGTGGGAGGATATTAATATATAATGAGTTAATATAACTGATAATAAAACCTCTATATTCTTCATAAAATAGGCAAAAACATAAACTTACAATTCACAGAACAGATAGAAAAAATATCTAATAAACAAGAATAAATGTTCAACCTCATTAGTAATCATACTGATGGAAATAAAAGCAGAAATAAAATTTAATGCTTTACCTATCACAGTATAACATTGTTTAGTGGAAACACACAGGGCTGGCTATACAACAGGGATATAAGATTAAGGCTAGGACTGCAGATTCCAATGGTAACTAAAAATAGGGGAGCATGGCATCTCTGCCCATTTTATGTGTCTCCTTTATTACCTTAACACTTTGGGTCAGATCTCTGTTCAGCTTTGCAGGTAGACATATTCATCCCTTAAAGAGTGCCTGTCTAAAAATTAGTGGTACAAGATTTATTAGCTCTAAATTTACCTGCCTGTCTTGATCCCTTTCAAAACTGAGGACACCAAGATAAGAGTAGATAAGACATTTTCAAAATTTTTAGGGACATTCAGTGTCCAGCTCCAGACCGCTGGAGTACCACCTGTAAATCTTCAGTCATTGCCCAAAACCTGTAATACACTTGGATTCCAGGAAAAGCAGAGCCTCTGTGGACAGACTGCCTAAAATGAAATCATCCCCTAAGTAGAAGCAATTAGCCCATAACAGAACTGAGGTTACCACCCAAGAAAGAAAAATAACACTCATTGAACAGGAAACAGATCATCTCCTCAAGCCAAAAGGACTACTCCGGAACACCTTGCAGAATCAGTTTAGAGGTAATGATCAACCAGACCATGGCCAGACCAGGATTACCTTAGCTTGCCAGCTATGCAGACCTCACAGCTATGCAAGCCCTGAACCCTTGCCTTTGTTCCCCTTTTCTGTAAAACCTCGAAGTTTCTGTCAGCCCCTCCTAGATGCATTGAATGTCTGTATCTGTTCTTCCTGGCATGGCCACACTGATTACAGCTCATTTCCTGCCCTTCACCACTGCTCAGCTGCTTGAATGACACTGTGGGAAGTGCAATCTGTTGTGATTCTTGGGGCTAGGGCTTTTGCCCTAAAACCCTGGTACTGGCCAGAGTGTGGTGAAAAGAGGACGCTCTAGCTCTGTTGGCTTTTGCAGAGTGCTTTGACAACGTTCATCAAGGGTCTTCAACACCTGTGTTCCTTTTTACCTGGTAATTATGCCTTCAAGAATCTAACTTATTTCTAAGAAAAATAACAGTAATGCACCTTAAAATATAGGTACTTCAATATCCCTTAGAGAAAACAAAGAAAATTGCCTAAATAGATTCATGGTTAAAACAACTCTTGGAATGTCTGTGTGATGGATTATTAATTTGTTGTTAAAACATTTTAATGAGTTTTAGTGACTGTGACATATATTCATAACACAACTTTAATTATGAAACCAACATATAATACATAAAGTATACAAATTATGGATTACATATTTATGTATTATAGAAGGATTTTTAAAGTGTAGGAGAAAACGGAACAATTTGTAATGTTTTCTGAGACCCATTTTTTTTGGAGTTTGTGAAAGTACAAAAACTTTGAGTCATTTAATTTATGCACCTCAGATTTCCTACAATATGTTGTTTTCATGACCAGAAAAAATACTCAGGAAACTCTAAGTGGACGATTTAATTCTATTATTTGCCCTGTGTTACTGTTCTTAAGGAGTTTCAGTGTGTGTCCGGTCAGGGGATGGGGATTTGTGTACTATAATTCTAGGGAATTTATAAAAATGCTAAAACTCATTTTGTCAGGAAGTGGTAGATTAAATCCTACAATAACGCATTAACTCTTTCAGGTCACTAAGGGACCAATTAGTGTATTATGCTAAGGGGTACTAAATCGTGTCCTACTAGCCTGGAGGAGACCAAGCATGTCCCGAAGCACTAACTTCTATTACCGCTGGGAAGTGATTCAAGTCTGGGAAGAAGCTGGCTCATTGAATATTAATTGAATGGGTGAATAAATGAAGGGAAGGCAAAGGCTGGAGCTAACAAGCTAACCTGTATTGATTATTTACTATGTGCTAGGGGCTTCCCATTCTTAATCTCATTAAATTCTAATGGCAGCCTGATGAGACCCCTCTTATTACCACCTTGCAGGAAAGGAAACTAAAATTTTTTTTTTTTTTTTTTTTTTTTGGTTTTTCTCCGGTACCGGGAACCGAACTCACGACCTTGCGCTTGCCAGGCAGGCGCTTTTGCCGCTGAGCTAAATCCCCAGCCCCCAGGAAACTAAAATTATACTACATAAAAACAGATTCCTGCTACTCCTACAGGAAGAGTCTGGCACTGACCTTAGTCTGTCACTTACTTGTGGCCAGGCCATGGCAGAGTCTTCCTTCAGGCTGGAGATTCATAAAATTCCACAGTTCAAGACACTCCTTTCCAGAGTGAGGTTTTTCTGAATATATTACAAAAATATAGCATTCTGAGGGGAGAACTTGTTAGGGCGGGGGTCTAAGTAGTGGAAGTTTATTCTTTTTCTGAGAATATTATTCATTAATTCATTAATTAATTATGCTGTACTGGGGATTGAACCCAGGTTTTCTCGCTGAACTACATTCACCAAGCCTTTAAAAAAAAGGTTGTTTTTTGTTTTTTCAGATAGACCAAGCTTTTAAAAGAAAGGGTTTTTTTTGTTTTTGCTTTTTTTTTTTTTTCCAGATAGAGTCTCATGAAGTCTTTAAATTGTCTAGACTGGCCTCAAATTTGCAATCTTCCTGCCTCAGCCTTCTACAGTGCTGGGATTATTGGTACATATAACCACACCTGGTTTAAGAGAACATTATTATTTATTTATTAAAAAATATAATATACACAAACGAAAATAAAGGAGAGAGGAGCAAAAGATTATTGGTACATAATAATCAAAAGATTACTGGTACATAAGGAGGACAAGAAGAGTGCCACTGGGGTAGAAAGACAGAATAAGGGGCCAGGGTTACTACCTCCTGACTAGGGGCCTACAAGCCACGGCTCCTTTAATGTTCTGAAGGCTAATGGGAGTTTGTAATGTCTGTACTGCATTTGTGTCTTGAAGAAAAAGAAACTGGCTTGTAAAGGAAATGCATTCCTAACTCCTTTCAATAACAGGAAGTTGTAGCATGGGAAGTTGGCTAGTACAGGCTTGCAAAAGCTGTGAAACTGTCAGAAGAAAATGCAATATTGGGGTCAGATCCATTTTTGATAGGAATCCTGGGCTAGGAGATGAGCTGATTGCTCTGAATATTCTTATTTAGAAGATCTTTTTTTTTTTTTTTTTTTTTTTTTTTTTTTCAGAAGAGGGGGGCATTTTCTTGTACAGGTGATGAGAAACAGCTCTGTGTTTTAGACAATTAGAAGTTTTGAGTACAGAGTTCCTTATCTCTATAATTTTTATTTTTTAAAATGAAATCATGGATGACACTTCAAGAAATAAGATGAACATTCTAAAAGAAGTCTTTTATTCTTTTATACTTCTTGGTTTAGGTACATTTATATTTAAGCTTTCAAAGAATGAGGGGCAAAGATATTCTTTCTAGAAAGAAAATCCAAATTACTAACATCTTTAAATAGATTTACACCCAAATTATACACTGTGAGTCTACAAGGAGCTTTATAAAAAATCATCCATAATGCCTTTTATATTGGGATCTTTTCTATTATACTGAAACTCCTGTAGGAGGGAGAAAATAATGATTAGGCTTAAGCAAAGTGGAAAGATATTTTCTCAGCTGGAAGCTGTTAATACTTCAGCTGATAGAGACTTGGAGAATAACTCCTCTGTTGTGTGTTTAAAAAATAAATATACAAGTACTGGAATAACTCACAGGATGAGGAATCACAGGAGGGAGACAGCAGCTGAGCAGATCTGAGGCTGATCGTTTCTCTGCTTATGGGTCTGTTGCTCCTTGCCCTAAGTGCTAGACTGACAGCTCTTCTGGGTGTTGACTCCAGTCCTTTGGGCCTTGTTGTCTTTGAGCAAATACACATTGTTAAGTCAGATAACGGCTTCTCATTTTCATAGATTTTCATAGAAGACAGATAATTATTGCGAAAAGAGTTTAGAATGCTAAATCTCTTCTATATTTAGAAAAAATAAATATACGTCCTTTTTTTCTTTCTATAAAAGCAATGTGTGTTCATAGGAAAATCTTTAAAAATACAGGAAAGGAAAGAGAAGAATGTGTATAATAACCCCCCCACCAATTAGAGTTATAGTATATATCTAGTCTATCTCTTTTTAGTCCTAGGTAGTATTTTTTACAAAAAAATCCTCATAAGGTATATACAGTTATAAAATTTTGCATCTGCTCTCCAACCATTCTGATGAGCAATAGTTAAAAGTCTACACATTGGAATCAGATCCATGACGTGGTGTTCTAAGCCTGTTACTAACCACCAGGGTAACAATTTCCTATCCCACAAAATGAAGAGAAAGTTCTCTGGCTTGAATGATGGTTTTGAGGATAGAGATAATGTGTATAAACTGTGTGGCACATAGTAAGCATATAGAAGCTGTTACATTTTTCTTTTTTTCTTCCAATTTCTACCTCTACCATAGTAGTGTTGCTTAGTGTTTGTTTTTTTCAATATTACTTTTTTGTTGTTTTTTTTTTTTGTTTTTCTCCGGTACCGGGAACCGAACTCACGACCTTGCGCTTGCCAGGCAGGCGCTTTTGCCGCTGAGCTAAATCCCCAGCCCCTGGTTTTTTCAATATTACTAAAATGAATAATCTTAAAATTTTCCTTGACAGATGAAGGAAAAAGTGGTTTTTTCCATCTGGGTATAATCACCTGCATTAAGAAAAAGCAGCACTGAGTATGTTTAGGTTTGGGTGCCGATTAAGTTTTACTTTGGAATGCATGAAGATGGAGGATGTTTTGGACAGGTCAGGACAACCTGACATTAAAAGGTTTTAAGTTCCTAGTTTTCCCTGCATCCAGCTCTGTCTTTTTAAGTAAAAGTGTTGAGCCCCTAATAATCAGGACACAGACTCTTTGAGAGAGAGATTTAAGGACTAAGAATAAAACACCCTTACTTCTGTTTTATGAGCCTTGGAGGAGACAAGAGTGTGGGACCAGATCCCATTGTGATGGTGACTAGGACTGCAGCTGCTTTGGGACATGTTCTTTTTGTTCAGGATCTTATGACCTTGCCTGAGACAAGCAAATGGAGGTATCTGGCTAGGACCTGAGAAGTTATAGACTCAAGACAATCACATATAGAAACCTGTCTGTTATCTCTCACATTCACATTCAGGGAATTGTGGGCTGGGGACTGTACCCCAACAGTGGGATAATAGGAACAGAATGGGTGGTCAGGGGCCCTTTCCTCTTCTCCTCGCTTGCTTCTCCCAGTAAGTGGAGCAATTTCTGTCTGTAGACCACGTGTAAATGGCGTGCACTATCAGTTAATCAAGATGAGTGGGCCTGGGAAGATTTTAAAAACTTTTTTTTTTTTTTTTTTTTTTTTTTTTTTTGGTTTTCTCCGGTACCGGGAACCGAACTCACGACCTTGCGCTTGCCAGGCAGGCGCTTTTGCCACTGAGCTAAATCCCCAGCCCCTAAAAACTTTTTATTATGGAAAATTTTAAGCTTACACAAGATTAAAGAGAACAGTATAATGAAGCCATGAACCCATCACACCAAACTTTGAGCAGATTTCAACATTTTGCCAATGTTGTTTCATCTTTTGCCCTGCCGTTTCCCTTCTTTGCTTCACTTGTTATCACAGTATTCTAAAGCAAATCTCACAGAAATAATTCTCCACATGCTGCAGTAGGTATCTCTAAAAATTAAGGATTAAAAAACTGTAATCATGGTACTATTCACACTTAACAAAATTAGTCATAGTTTTTTAGTATCATCTGATACCTATTTCAAGTTCAAATGCTCTTGATTGTCTAAAAAATGCATTGGTTTGTTCAAATCAGAATCCAATCAAAGCCTACACATTGTGCTTGATTGTTAATTCTTAGAAAATTCTTAATAATAACTGTTCTTCCTTCTCCACCCCCTACTTTAATACCATTTAGTTTTTGTAAGAAACTGGATTATTTTTCCTTTGGAATCAGAACTGATTTTGGGTGAGCTATATTTTGAGGCCAGATGATTTTTTGGGGATAACTTAGAGGCCAATATAATAAGAGAGCCTATGAACAGTTAGTGTTTCCATCATGGTGAGACTGAAATGACTGAGTGATCAGTACACAAGGGAGAACAATTTCACCATGAGATATGGAAGATTAAGAAACACTGCTCAATCACTTGTGATGCAAAAAACTTGAGTGACAGCATAGCAGGATACCTGCCTGTGGTCACATTTTTGTCCTTTCTTTGAAGGACTCTATCCTGACCTATGACCATAGGGTCTACAAGTCCTGTCATCAGATTTTGAGACTTTTGCCTGTTAGACAGTACTATCTTCAAATACAGTAGCTGGCCATTATTTCTTTATTTTGTTGGCAATACACTGGTTTTTTCCATTTGTAGATTCTTTTACTACTTCTAGCCAACCACTTGTAGTAGTTATTCACATACCTACTGTGTGCTGTGTAAGAACAGTAATATGATGATCTCACTTGAAAAGTCTGCTTTCAGTCCAGTTCAAACAGACTAACTCTCTAAGGTTTTCAGAAACTAGTTAGTTGATAATTTGGGTGATGATGCTACGAGATCCTGGCAGGAACTGGAAAAGAAAAACAGATTCTTTATTAACATGACCTTGGAGTTAATCCTGGCCATTTTGTAATCCTTGGGAGTGTAAATGGGTAGTAACAGGGCAGGGGAATAAAGCAGAGCTCTGGATTCATAAATGGGCCATGTCCACATGGACTGCTCAATTTTTCTTGAACATACAGTACTTTATGATTTTCTAGCACTGTGCGCTTCTTTCTCTTCTAGAAAGGTGCTCCACTGAAATTTAAGTTTCAGTTATGATGACAGCTCCTCTGTGAGGCCTAAATTCCTAACCAGGTGTGTTTTCCTCTTTTCTGAACTTCCAGAATGCTAACATTCAATTGACACTCTAGAACTAGAACTTATAAGGAGGCCAGAGCTCTCACTGTCCCTTTTTTGTCTAAGGCGCTCTGAGGAACATGGTCAAATATCCAACCAAGAAAAAGGGATACGTGTCCAATTAACCAACTAAGAAACAAAAGCCAGTCAAGTGTTTAGCAAATTATTCTTACCCCTACACCTTATTTGTGGGTAGAAAGTTGAGTTCAATTGGTTTTTCTTTTTCTCTTGTTTTTTAGAGTTGCTGTGTGCTAAAGATCATGCTAGATAATGAAAGTGAAATAACAATTGTAGCTAAAACTGTATAATGCTTATTAGTATAGCAGGCCATGTTTTAATCCCTTTACAGTTATGATTCACTTAATCCTCAGGACAATGTTATAAGGTTGGAGCTATACTTGTCTCTATGTGCATTTGTTCATTCACTCATTCATTTATTTATTGAAACAAAGATTAGCAAATTGCCAAGGCTGCCCAAACTGACATACCTGGGATATGAACAAAGATAATGAAGCTCTAAGTAAGTGTGACATAATATTTTAGTCTTCACATATGTATAATTTGAAGATTCTAACAAAAGGGTTAGAATTCAGTCTTAGATTCCCAGACACATTCCAGAGAACTGAACCCACAACAAGGAGAGTATGTTTTCGGCTAGGACACTGTTGGCCAAGGCCGTGCCAAGCCAGTGTAGAAGGGTGGTTATTTCAGTGCGTTTCAAGATGAGAGACCAATCACAAACAAGGACTGAAATGAGCTCCCATTAAACTACACAGTCTCACAAAGAAGAAATTATTGGGCATTGTCTATCAAAAGTAATGTGTAGGGTCATGGCAAAAGGAGACTGGCCTTTGCCCCAGGAGTTCACCTCTAGTTCTAGTTCATCATAACCAGTGAATCTGAATACACAAGGCATTTTGTGGTGCAGACTCACTGCCTATCAAGAATGGCCCTGATGAGAGCTTAATACCTAAATAACCATTTGGCTATTCCCTTTCAAAGCAACAGTCATGTGGCAGCGATGAAAATGCTGAACTGAAGCCATGTGGAACTGTAGCCAAGTGTTAGGATGGTAGAAAAATCTCCACAAGCATATCTCTGGGGATTGGAGAATGTTCTGAATAACCTTCCATTTTAAACAAGGTTTTGTTTTTTTAAATATATATATAGCCAAATCGGATTTCTGAGAAAGATGTTTTAGGGGCTTCTTTGGAGATAAATGAGCATATAATTATCTGCTCTAGGGGGAAATGGTTCCAAAGCTCCGGCAAAAATCTGAGAAGTTGCTGCCTTAGAAACAACTAATGTTGTGTAACTCTCTTCCCTGGACAACCATTTAGGGTCTCTATAATTTGTGCACTCTATTCATAGTTTCTAAACTTTTAATCCCATGTGAGAAATCTTAATCTTTTTCTTCAGTGAAGATGATAGCAAATAACATTTCTCATTTACCCAGACATTAAGCACTTGGTGGGGAACGATTCTCTTCTTTTGCAGTGACATTTTGTTGTTCTGGTAGAGAGTAGATAAGCCATGGTGGCACCACTAGAGGCTCCATGACCTCTGTCCTGGTTTTCCCACGATGGAGTGGTTTCCTAGCGCTGAAGCATGGGTGGCTATTTACTTGATGAATGACACAGGCAGCTCTCCAGGTAAGAATTCGGAACTCTGTGGAACTCTGGACAGCTCAGGGTCCTCCCCGAGCCCAAATCATCGTGGAGCATATGCAGCTGAGAACACAGTTCCCTCTGAAGCATCCAATGACTGTTCTTTCAAAGATTTCCCCATAAAAAACAGATTTACATTAGAAAAATTGCAGGAAACTGCCCACAGGACCACATTCAGTTTCGCTTATTCAGTTTTACTCCATTTGTCCAGCCTATGTGGAGTTCCTGTACATGACAGGGTGCTAGGTAGCTGGGAATACAAAGAAAAATAAGGTACAGTCCTGCATAAGAGAAATAGGTTAAAAAAAGAGGAGCATCTTTCAACATAAGGGATGATGTGACAGAAGTAGTGGATATGGTATGGAGAAGGGTCACTAGCTGAGGTCAAAAAAGTCTTCACAAAGGAAATGATATTTCAGTGGAAGACAAGCTGGTGTTTTCCAGCTGAGGTGGAAGAACACTTCAGGCAGAGGTAAGAAGACAGAGAAAAGGTACAGAGATGAGAAATTATCTACTTGAGTGGGAGCTTCACGATACATTTAGGGAGCAACAAGTATGGCTGGACTGCAGGACTTGAGACAGAAGGAGCTATAGGGGAGAAGGCCAGAGGAAAGGGGAAAGAGATAGACTGCAAATAGCATTTATGCAATTATAGCAATCCCTGCCCACTGGCTACCTGCCCAATATCTTTTGCCACTTTGCTGAATTTTAGGCGATCCTCCCCTACATAGCTGTGATTTTATTTAAGGCAATTCCAGTGGTCTCATTTCTCTTATCAATGGTTTGCTTAAGATTTGCACTGAGACACAATTTTCGCCAAACACATATAAGGAGTTGTGCATCTGTTAAGAATTCTATAGGAAGAGGTGACATATGCATATATGGCAGCCATTTTTTGACCACGAGGATGTCTGGCTTGAAGACAAGCTGACTTGCTGAGGATGATAGAGCAAAATACAGAAAGCATGGGGGGCCTCAAAGTCACTTTCCTTGGATATACTGTTATGTGAGATAAGAACTTTCCCCCATTGTTCTGTGCATTTTGAATGGAGATTTCTGTAATATGTGGTTGAAAACACTTAATTATATGCTATAATATGCTACAAAGTTGAGAAGAGACGACAAGAAAAAAAGGAATGTCATGAGTTCTATTTTAGGGCATTAACTCTTATTTGTCAGTGGCCATGTTTCCTGTATTTAATTCCTACATCCAAATATGCATTTATTCATTCAACTACAATTTTTTTTAAAGCATATGCCAGGTACAATTTTAGATGCTGGAGATACAATGTCAGATAAGATATAGCATCTTTTTGTAAGGAACTTACAACCTCCTGGTGGAAACAGGCCAGTAAATCAACTTCACAGTACACTGTGGCAAGTGCTTTGATAAAATTACACCCAGGGTACAGTAGTGGTGCTGTCCAGGCTCTTAAATCAGCCTGATAAATTGAGAACATTTACAAAGGAGACGATACTGGGACTGAATGAGTTAAAGACCCCTAAGTAACTGGTGAGCTACAGAACTACAGCTGGGCCCAGACACATCCATATCCTTAACCCTTTTGCTTCTGCTGCGGCCCCTCTGATTCAACCCATTTCTAGACACCAGAAACTGTTTTTGTGATTATTTAGTCTATTGGTTATCTTTCCCATTGCTGGTACAAAATACCTGGCACCTAAAGCTTAAGGATCATCCATGATTTAAAGGGAGAGAGGTTTAATTTGGATCATGGTTTCTGGGGGCTCAACGTATGGCTGGCTAGCTGAGAGGTGGAATCATCATGGAAGCAGGATGTGGGGAGGAAAAATCTTTAGTTTACAGCAGGCAGGAAGCAGGGTAGGGAAACAGCACCGGAGAGAAAAGGGAGAGGGAGCAGATATAGAGCCGAAGGCCATGATTCACCCAGATAGACCTAGATTGTGCTTCACTAGTTCCCAGGGAAGATCCCAGTGTCAATCAAGTTGGCACTGCACTTTAACTGTCACATTTCACTCCTTGTCAACTTGACACAGACACATCTCCTTAAACAATAATCTCGAAACGAACACAAGATCATAGTTCTATCCACCCTAATATGACTCGCACCCCTGAAACTGAATAATCAATTCCTCAAATTCCAAAGAATTCCAGCATTGTTTAAAAGTCCATGTCAAAGTCTTTTCTGAGATGCAAGGAAAACTTCTAGTTGTGAACCTCAGTAAAAATAACAAACTATGTAATTTCAAGGTATAGTGGCACTACTTGAAAAGAAAGAAATAGAGGGAGAAAATAATTAAAGCAAAGTGAGCCAAAACCCAGGAGGGCAAACATGAAGTCCTGTAGCTCCATATCCAGCATCTGGGGTATATAGTACTGAGATGTAAGTTCCAGAGGGCTTGGGCTGTTCTTCTGTATGTCCTTCTTGGTTAATGCCCTATGACCTCTTGCTTAGGCTGGTTTTCTTCATGGTCTGCAGCTTTCCTTGGCAGATTGTCCATATTCCTGGCATCTCCTGGAATTTCCACTGCACCTTTTGTTTCATTTCCACAGCTTCATACTCTGCCTTCTCTGAGGCTCCTTCATGGACCTTCCAAGCTTTCCTTTGAAATCTAGGTGGAAGGCCCCCGGCGCTAAATATTTACATTTTGTATGCTGATAAAACCAGCATCATACCAAAGTCTTCTGTCATTAAGAACAATAGCCAGCCTCCCTTGGACAGCAATAGTTTCAGAGGGCCTACATGGCTGAGTATGATATGACTCTCAAGGAAACAATTCCTTAGATGGCTCTTCTCAAGCAGCAGAACAGGGGCTTTTTTCTCAAATGAAAAGTTTACACTTTTCTACCTTTGAGCCTGGCATAGATGAGGTCTTTCTGATTCCTGAGATATCCTCAAGGCATCTTTCTTCTTGTCCCTGCTCAAAGTATTTGATTTGTTTTAAGTGGTGCAAATCTTTCCAGCAAACATACCTGCTTTGGTCCCACACTTACATGTGGTTCCTTCTGGGCCAAAAT